CAAGCGCGACTCTTCGGATGTGTTGTGCGTGAATTTGGAATCTGCGTCAATTTGAAATTCACGCGCGTGAAATTCAAATTAGCCAATCAGAACTTTGTATCCAAACATTCCACCCTTAAAACTTTTAATTATAAATTTCAACACGATTTTAATTTTGACCCACAACACCAATAAGCAAAATACATATGATAATTAGTCAATGAAAAGCTATACATCATATAATATCTAGAGAGATCAGCGATAGCTAATGATTTTCTGCTACAAAGTAATAACACCAGTTCCCAGATGATACTGTTGTATTGTCTCATACTTGTGTGCATGAATGGACAAGCTTTATGGTGATACCAACGGAGAAAATGAAATAAATCGATCTAGTTGGTTCAAATGATATGTATTTCAAAGAAAAGGCACCAAAGAGATAACCTGCCAAGAAGTGTTTTTCATTAACCGTATAGCAATCATAAAGGGAAGGGTTAAATACATACATCGCAATACAGATAAGAAACGTCTCAAAGCAATGACACTCTGACGAAATATATTTATCGCCAGACGAAAAGAATAAAACGTTCTGACGAGAATTGTTACGGCGCAGATCAATTACTTTAAAATTCTATAAATTTAGGTACAGTTTGTACTGTGTTTACTGATTATATTAATATAGTCGTTTTTGCACGGATAAAAAAATATGCCTCCATTTTAAATTTTTGATAAAATGGCATATTTTACAAACATTTAATCATTGTTTTGTTACCAGTGTTATAAGGCAGGGATTAAAAGTTCAATGATTGTTAGATATTCATCATTCATTAGCTGAAGAGATGCTTTAGCCAGGATTGGTTCTGAAGGATATGATGTAAATAATCTATTCCGTGTTTTATAGGTGTTATAGCTTGACATTAATTCAGTTGAATAGTGAGATTATGGTACTGCATTGGGCCAAGGATCGTTAACGAAATGTTCACTTTTACTTCTCGATGTCCTGGATAGTCTAATAGTTGACAAGCAACCCTTGTCAGTACTTGTCGTGATTAATCCAATAAGCATTCAAGCAATTTGCAATTTTTCGTCATCAATAAACGCTCAAAAGAAACAAGGGCTTTGGATTTCAGCCCAGGATAAACGACTGTATACGATTAAACAGATTAGTATTTGTCATAAAATTGTCATCCTCTGGGTTTGAGTAGATATCTAGTAGGTAATACGTGCCAAACAAGTAAATCGTGCCGAATACTAGCCACTTTATGGGATGGGTCGAAAATTGTATCAATTAATATCGCAAAAAAATCGTTCCATTTTCATTTATCGCGTAATGCTAATCGATTACTGATCCTATGTTTTATTGGCCATAGTTGATTTATCAAAAACAAAAGTTAGGTTCTTCCTAACCATTATTGATGCGAGCTTCCCTACACATTCTGACAACATGGCTTTGAATTAATGATACCCGACGAAAATGCTTTGTAAATGGGAAATGATTTCGTCTTATTTGGCGAAATGACGAATTAAATATTGTAATAATAAAATTTTCAATGTATATGTTCGTTAAACTTTTTATTGTAATAGTAAAAAAGTTTTTTATTTATTATTAAAAAAAAATTTGTTGCACGAAATTAGTCTCAAATTTCTTTATGTAACAAAATTTGGAATTTTCAAAATAGCTAACAAGGAAAAACTAATTTTGAAGCTTGAGTAGTGAACAATAAAACTTATCAGTTAACTTTTTTTTAAAAATTTTTATTTTAGTATTTTGAAGTTGCTATAAACAACTTCTGTGCAGCAAGCAAGGTCGGCATAGATTGACTTAAATATCCCAGTCTATTTACAACAACAAACTGACATTGCATTTTTATAATAATCTATCCTTCATCTTGGTGCAGGCACACAACTGGGTAGTGAAATTTAAATTTGCCAAAGCAAAAATTGGATCAACCCTTGCAGAAATTGAAGGTATTCCAGCTCGATCATATTTGTCTTTATACATGTAGCTCAGTGTTGTGACCAGAAACTCCTTTAGCTTCCCGAAACGTTTCGGAAAATGAACTTACACTAAGCAGAAATCTAAACCTAAACCTAAACCTAAACCACTAACATAAACTAGTTTCAGGTGGTTTCTGTTAGTTTCTGTTTCGGGTTTTCCCTAAACTCGGAGTTTCGGGTCACAACACTGATCTCTGATATCTGCTACTACATTGTCTGACAATGGAAGAATACCAGTCTTTTTATTATTTAGTAAAGTGAATTTTATTTTTGTTTGATTAATTAGTATCTAAATAATAATGCGGATTTTTTATTATTATTTACATTAGAATTCTTGTGTGTATATACTAATACATTTTTTTTAATTTGGAAAATCTGGGAAAATACTCCATATCATGTGAATTTGTTGTAAGGCGATTAATACTTATTATTATATAAAAACCCACCAAAAAAATTCGTTGTCGTTGTGACACGATATATATATATATAATTCGTTAGTTATTCAAAAAAAAGTTTAGTCAACTACATTAGTCGATTCCAATCTCTAAAGCAACGTTAAATAATAAAATTTTAAAAAAGTGTAATTCTTTATCATTTGATTGGTTCATTTAATGATTGATTGATTGACTGTTCATAGAGAAAGAAAAAGATACTTCAATGATATGATATATATATATATATATATATACTCTTTCACGATAATTTAAAGTTTGACGGAGATTAATAATGAAATTAAATCGTGATAAAAAATCCATTTTTTTCTCACTTTCTTGATTGGAGTTCATTTAATTTCATTGATTGATAGTGTGAACAAATAAGGGAATATGGTGTCAGATCAATGTTGATGTTTTAACAGTGTAAATCATTGTTCTGTTATTATTGTCGTCGTTAATGAACAGATAAAACAATAAAATTAAGAAAGTGAAAACGAAACATCAGTTAAAATAGAAAATGATTAATGACAATATCAAAGACATATTACAATTGTTTTGATTTAATTTTTGTTTTATATCTTCTTAACATAATGTATGTACATTTCTTGCAATATCGTGTATGTTTTTTAAAATATCTGGATTGAATAATGAGAACGCCCCAATATTAAATTCTTTAACATTATTATTATCATAGTCACAAATTATTGAATCCGAATGGAAGCATGCTATTGGTGAATTCATATTATTATTGTTGTTGTTGTCTTATCTCTGTTGTAAATGGATAAAATAGCAAATAAAAATAGACAATTTTGTTTTTATAAATTTAATCAGTAATAACAAATTAGTTAAGGAAAATCATTATTAAAGTTTGATGATCGTGCAACTAATATTAATTAAATTGCTTTTTTAAGTGAATTTAATTTTATCAATGATTGAATTAGAATAGATTTAATAAATGACTGTCAGGCTTTTTAAAAAACGAGCATCACACTGAAATTTTGAAATTATATTGAACTTTGAATTTTCAGCATGTAGAAAATGCACCTACCCAATGAATAACACTCACAGAGAATTGACCAATATGTTCTAAACTCTACACAACTGAATTAATATTTCAAATAACCGCCGTTATTTATTATAAATTGGATTCTTTTCAAAATTTTGTCTATAATGGTAGATTCATACTTTTTTTCTTTGACGATTACCAATAGCATACTATATTACTATTATAATAATAATGGACAATGAAACTTATTTCTTATTTGTTATTTAATCGCGTAATTATTCACGTTATTCAATTTTTCAATGGACTGTACAGCTATTAATCACCACTAGCAGTTGTTATAAAAGTTCATTACAGGAACCGATTATTAATAACGATAATAATATAATTGTTCTTAAACACGTGAAATAAAATTTCATAATATTACATATGAATGATTTGATATCATTACTCATATTTTTACATAGAACTAAAAAAAGCATTCATTATATACACAATCTAATTTAGATTGAATATTATTAGTTTCCATTAGTACACGCTCCAATTTCTCATTTGTTTTCTTTGTCATTTATGATCCTTATTTATATGACGACTTTTAGACACTTAACAACATACACGGTTTTTTTATTTCACGTTAATATTCTTTGACATTTAACTCATTAGTGAAAAATCAATTATATATAATAAAATATAGACTATTTTTTTTAAAAAAAATTCATTATACCATGCGCATAAATTATCAATCATATATAATAGAGTATAAGCATTTGTAAGAATTTTTGTATAAATATAAGGTAATTCCATCAACAACACCTTTTATGTTATTATAACGAATCTTCTATCTACAACCCCCAGACTTAGTTTTTTCTTCAAAAAAAAAAAAAAACTTTCTACATTAAACAATCTTTATCATTTTGAAAAAAACAACATATTTGAGTCCTTAAAAAATCATTAATATTAATATTTTTTCTTTGCAAATGTTTGTTTCATTTTAATAAATTTCCAAGTATCACAACTTTTAAAAATCCGAGTTATATTTACGCAATTTACATGGATCCTGAAACATCGTCATATATTAATAAAGCACAACTTGACTATGACGAGGTTCATACTTTTTTCAATCCCCCTTGTAAACTCCATTTACAACTCGGTGAATTTATTTCACCTAATCCAAATAATGTTGATTCTATAAACATCCGAAAATCTCCAAACTCTTTTTTCCTATACCGCAAAAATTATATTGCAAAGCATAAATCTCCTAGAAATCAAAAAGATGGGAAAGCTCTTTCAAAGAGAGCCAGTGTTTCCTGGAAGAATGAATCGGACAAAGTAAAAGGTTACTTTAAAGTATTGGCAAAAGTAGCTTTACAAAAACATAAAATAGCTTATGAAAATAGAAAAAATCATATTTTTATTCCTCAACAACCAGGGCCACAACAAAAACAAATAGATGATAATAATAATGATTCTGTAGTTTCTTCATCACACTATCCGCATTCTTTTGCTTTCCTTTCTACTTGTCATTACACGAACGATAATACGACCTCGTCTTATCAACAACTAGAACTGCAACAAAATCAAAAAGATAATCTTCATAATAACGATTGTGCAGTTTCATCATCATCTAATCAATATTATTCTATTTCTTCTTACACAAGTGATAATATAACCTCAGAACTGCAAAAAGATAACTTTCATAAAAACAATGACACCGATTGTGCATTTTCATTATCATCTTGTCAATATTCTTCTATTACTTCTTACAAATGTTTTAAGACTCAACAAAAAAATAATCTTCATCAAAAAAACAATAACAATTATGCAGTTTCATCATCATCTTATCAATGCTCCACTTTTTCTTGCACGAGTAATAATACAAACTTGCCTCATTTTTATGACTAAACAATCGGAACTACAACAAAAATAAAATGATAATTTAAATAATAACGATCGTGTAGCTTCATCATCATCACCTCATCCATATTCTTACACAAGTTATAATACAAGCTCATCCCATTTTATGACTCAACTACAGCTACAACAAAAAGATAATTTTTATAAAAACAATAATAGCGATGATACAGTTTCATCACCTTCACCTTATTCACATTCTCCCTCTTACTCTTCATCATGTTTTATGGCCAAACAACTAGAACCACAACAAAAATATAACTTCTACTTTGTTCGATTGTAATATTAATTATGATAGATATGATAGTTTGTTGTAATGACAATCTTGTTATAATGACATTTTTTAAAATTTATAAATACAAATTCTAAATAAATTAATAACCCTATAAATAACTATAAATCAGTCCCTTATAATTAAAAGCAAACACAACCTTCAAGTGGTTGTAAGCGACTTTGTAGGGATCACTTTGGCATAATTGTTGCTGCTGAATTTGCTTTTAGCCTGCATACTAGTTGAGCGATAATCTTAAAATAAGTTTGAAGAAAAGACCTGGCGTAGAATAACCAATA